GGGGGAGGGGGGGACGCACCGCGCGGGGGAAGGGGGCGGCGGGTCCACATGACACAGGACGGTGAACCTGTTGGAGGTCGCTTCACAGCGCAGTTGGCGTCTATCTGGGCACAACTCTGAGATGGTGATGTAAATAGCTCTAAGGTTTGGGCACCGGTGTCCTCAAAGAAATTTGTCCCGTGGAACAAAACAAAATGCTTTTGCGTTTGGTAAATGGGGAGTGCTAAAGATTAAGAGAAGTGCATCGTTTCAGGCTTTTTTGGATCAATATCAAATACTGCTAACTTCTGAGGTATTTTGTTAGCATTTCTAGTGAGCCGCATGCAGTGGGGAAGGCTCTTTGTAGCCTAACAAGAAAGCAAAACTCGTCTCTGCAGTATGAATCTTCTCATGTTTCTCTTTGCAGGCTGGCTGGAAGGAAAACCATGCAACGTTTATGAATGAACTGAAAAACCTTCAAGCTGAAGGACTTACGACTCTTGGCCAGTCCCTAAGGACAGCTTTTGATTTATTAAATTTAAATAGATTAGTAACTGGCATAGACAACTATGGGCAGGTAGGTTGACTGTTGCTAGGTGGAAAAATCTTAAAACACAAACTTCCCAGAGACAGCGATTAGCTAGTTGTCCAAAGTGGCATCTTCATGGAATATTCAATATGGGGGCTTCTTCCAAAGTAAGCAGAGCTCAGCTAGCTTGAAGAAATACAGTCACTGAATACCCAGTGGTATTCAGTGGGTACCCAACTTACTTTTTTCCTTTAATTTTGGTCATTTCTCAGTTTTTAAGCTGTGATGTAGCCTCCAAGTTGACCTTTTCGGTTGAAAGTTTTTTTTGTCAAGCGTGTGCTCAGTACCTTAGCTGGTGAGCCTGTTAGGGTTATGAAAACTTTGCTTTCTCTGTACAGTGCTGAACAGTTTGGGAGATGAGCCATTTTTCTAACAACACTGCATGTCCAAAAGTACTGGAAGGAGCACAACTTTTTCAAAACACTTTCTTTCCAGTGAGTTTACCTCAACATTTCTCTGCGTATGTGTATTTTTATAAACCTGCCTGTTGTATCAGAGCCTCGAGAGACTTTGCTTTTTTAATCTCTCTATTGCAACTATCCCTTTGAAACAGGATTTTTTTGGTGTGGGCCAGCATTCTCATGCTCATTAGTATGAGCTGCTGAAATACAGATGTTGTAGGTTAAACATGTGCATTAGGACTCAGAGTTCTTTCTGGTGCTGGATCAAAGCCTGGATTTCCTTCACTTGAAGGGTACTACTCGTGTTGGGCAAAGTATATAATGTACTCATGTGGGGCCTACTGACTTGAATCTCCCCTTTTTGTTGGTTATTCTCAGTAATTGTCCACTCTCTGAGGATTAGTGCTTAGTACTGCTCTTGGTATTTAACATGGGAATGTGGTTGTGAACATAAGTCCCCGTCTCTTTCCAGTCTAAGCAGGGTTCGTGATAACATGCCATGTTTGTTTGTGAAGGAAATTTGTCATGCTGCATTTTATGGCTTCCCCATGAGATGATCAAGTGACCCTAAACATTTTTACAATGCCTGTTTAGGATGTAACTTTAAAAAAAGTGCTAGTTCCACACATGGGAACACATTTTCCTATGGCCGTCTGCTGTCCTCATACATCTGTGTGTAATTTTCCCATTTTTCTGGTGTTTTTGTTTAGTTACAGGAGCTGTATTACTCTTGAACACTTAACCCCTCTAGGCCCACACACAAAATACTTGGTCTTTCCCATTGCTACTGATAATTACTCTAATTAAACCCATGTCAAATAATTTGCTCTAAGTGAACCAGCTGTGCTCAACTACTCAAGTGGGCAGTTGAGTTGTCATGACTGTTTTGACTCACTAGTAGTGTTCATTACTGCAATAGCTGTTCTTTTGCCTGTGAAACAATGACTGTTTGATCTGTTCTGGTTGCAATTCTCTCTGGGCTTGAACCCATCCTCACTTAGGAACATTTTTCTCCATTCCACATGTGGAGCTGGCTGTTGAAGAGGTATTCACATGTTTAGTCAGGTGACTAAATCAAAATTCTAACTCTATTTAGCAAAAATAGATGAATGTATTGCAAATGGCAGGTCATCTGGTGCTGAAGTCAAAGGTTCCCATTTTGGCTAATCTAACCTAAATAGCAATTTTTAAAAAAGAAATCAAATTCCACAATACTTAACTGATCCTTCAGCATTTGCAGGATGAGATCTGGGGCAGCTAATTGTCCTCAACTTCACACTGGTCTTTGTTTTGGTAGCTTGCCATCTTGTTCTTGTCTACCACCTAAAATTTAATCCAAATACTTACCATTGCATGGTATAAGAAACTTAAAAAACCAGGAAAATAAAAGTGGTCAGAGTGCTTAGTTGCAATTGAAATAGTTTTCATTCAGAACAGAAACTGCTGATTAACTTTTTTCTAAAGAAGCTGCAAATACTAAGACTACAAAATAGTAGTTAACTGAAATTTAGCAGGCAGATATTGGAAGACTGAGTATGTCAGAGTAAGAGAAGATAATTTTACAAAAAACCCCAATGTATAGACCATCTTAGGTGTGGTATTATGTGATGTAATAAAATCCAAACTTCATCTTCTGCGGGAAATTTCTGTGGCTAAAAAATCTTTGGACTGTCATGCTTGTATTTTGGTGTATTGACTTCTAAATAGTTGTTGAGATCCACTTGTTACATGAAAATGAACAAATGTAAAACAGACTTTTCTTACACATGCAAATGACAAGACATGATACAAGCCTGATGGGATTGTCTGGTTATGTCTCTACCAGTGTGATATCTTGTACCCCTGCTGAGTGTGAACTGTTTGTTTAAATGGCAGAGTGACGCAATATACTCGATTTCTTTAAAAGTTGACCAGAGTTCTCCATCAGCTGACCTTCTGAACAAGAATGGTGGCTGAACGGTCATTCTGAAGTTGGGGAAAATCTGCTTCATATTTTCTTGCAGCTTTAATGTTTGGATTTTTATTGTTTATCATACTGCTCTTTAAGCAAATAAGTACTGGCATAAAGATTGAGTTACCATGTGATCAGCTGATCACAGGATCTCATGTTTAGATCTTAAAGGACACTGTCAACACACTTAAATTATCAAGAGCCTGGAAGATTTTTTCATAAGCTATTTCTGATATGAATGCTATATTAAGGCATTATAAATATTTTCCCTTACTGTGGGGTTGCTAGATCAAATTGTTTTGGAGGCTTTTGTCAAGAAAAAATGGTTTTGAAAAGTACACATTTTAAGGTGGCTGTTCCTTTAACTTTTGCAGCACTTCAAGACTGATAATTTCACTCTTGTACTGCTTGCATCCAATTATAGGTCTCCCCCCTCCTTAGTATGCTTTTTGATGATTATGATAGCAGAAGAATAAACCTTCAAATAGGGTGTCAGTTTTTAGAGTTCGGTAAAAATAGCAATCATTTTCACCTTCTGCATTTTTATGGAGAGGTTAGGGTAAAAAATACAGCATTTAGATGTCTTCAGGAAGAAATCAGTTGAAACACACCAAGATCAGTAAGGGTTTACTGTCAAATCACACAAAATATTGTACTTCATTAGCCCAGTTTACTCTTGGATAATTGACTTATTTTCTCCAGTTCAGCTTTTCCATTATTTCAGGTAGTCTGAAAGACCAAGCCTTTTACCAGCAGGTTTTTTGTCCCCTTGAAGTACACTCTTAGGTCTTGCAACTATGGCTTGTTCCACAGGACATGAATAGTCACAATTTAACCAAATAGTTTTGTGTAGCAAATGTTCAGCTTGTTATAGTGGATAGAAGGGCTAAATACTGATAGATGTTTCTGTGGAAACAGAAAACATTCAAAATGTAGCAGCTGTTAAGAGTGGAAATGAAAACAAATAGTTCAAGTGAACCACCATTCAGTTACCTGCAGTTTGTAGTGAGGTTTCTAAGACTATGCACTAAATCTGAGGTAGGTAAAATATGTATCAATGGTGTTTTGATATTCACATGGAGAGGACCAACATAGCCCTACAAAAACTGGAATCTGATGGATTCTTGAAGTTGCTGAAACACTGATTTATTGATACCCCATGTGTTTCATGTTGCCTGTTATTTGTGAAATGATGAAAGTTTTTTCAACAGTATTGCATAGAGTAAGTTTGAGAGGATAAGATATACTTAACTGAGTGCATTTCAAAGTGCTTGATATTTCAAAGTATTTTTGAAATTTTTTTCAGGGTGAAATTGCTTTAATACTGCATATAGAAAGTGCTTTTTGATAATATAAGCTTGCTATGATTTTTTTTAATCTCACTAGTGTATTTTGTATGTTTTTCTGCAGCATTACTACTACTATGGGTTTGACTTTTAAACAAATCTAGTGTAACAAAACCACATGCTAACTTTGTTGCAAGAAGCAGAAAAGTCAACTCTAATGTCTAATACAAGTAGATTTAGAATAGGTATTTTTTTTTCACAATGATGAATAAGATGCTGCCTGGATTTAGATTAGCACAAGAAACACTGGGTGACTTACCAGGCTGTGTGCAGTCTTGGTGAAAGCCTTTTACTCTTTAGTGTGTTCCGGATATGAGCAGAAGTGTAACTAAAATTCTTTGAGGAAAAACTAAAATCCAAATGGAATTCAACTAATAAAGAATATTTTGGAAACTTAAAAATATGCTCAGAGCTGGAATGACCTATTTCTGACCTGGAAGTTGGAAGGTATCCTGTATATGATGGCATTGTTTTTAAATGACTTGGGTTTTTTCCAAGTGTTTTGTTCATGCCATGTATGACCATTAAACAACACAATCTTAGGATAACTGCTACTTTATAGTTCTCTCTGAGTATGTTTAGACCCATTTATAGCTACAGTAGCAGAAGTGCTGACGTGTTCCCACAGTAAAACTTGGCATTGGTATGTAGGGTTCGGGATGCTTTGCCATAATGGCTGTAATCCTGTAGTATTCCAACTACAGGTAAACAGTGTACCTAGGAGATAATGTCTAATCATACTTGTAGGGACAAAACAGCTTTAAGTCACACATTCTAGGCTAACTGCTTGCTTATACGCTTGTCTAGGATCTCCTGAGCTTATAAAACCACAACAATCACATGTGAAAGAAATACTGTTTCCAACATGGACTGCATTTTGATTTTGCAGTGATATGTTCTGTTTTCTTTAAATTGTTGAGCAGGTTTATTTTCCCAAGAGGCATTTGAGGATTGTTACTGGATTTTGTTCTCAAAAGTCAAAATCCTTTGAAGTATGGCTTTTGTCTTGGTATTTTGGGATCATAACACACTGCACTGAAATGGCCTGTGCTGCATGTGCCTCCAAATTTGGAACTAACGTTTAGGTTAGCATTTCCTGCTTTGTCATGCTGGCACTGTTGCATGTGCAGTTTGCTTCTCATGTTGGTAGAGGCAGAGCTTTGCATGTCTAGAGTAGCTCTCCTGGCCTCTTTTTTTGGTCTCCTTTGCCAAGAAAACCAAATAGGAGAATTTCAGACAGTTGTAAACAACTTCACAAGTGTAAGTGCAGAAATGAGAGGCTTTCTTACAGTCTCTCCTGTTTTCTGTGGAATAGCAATGGATTTAACGTGAACCTGTATGCCTGCTGATGTCAAAGATCTGTATGTGAAGTGCTGGTAAAAATCAATCATTCATTTGCTGTGTGATGAAATTAAGCATACTGGTTTGAACTTCTACCTTTCAGACCATAATCTTTAAACATGCTATCTTTGAAATTTTTAGTTAGTTTTGTTTTAGAGTACCCTTCAGTGAGAGCTGCAGCAAGCTCTGTTCAAGTGTTTTTTCACATTGTGAGCTGGAGCTGCTTGCCCTTTAGCCTTCCCAGTACAACAAAGTTCAGCAAAATGTGTAAATGTTTTTAAAATCACTTGTCTAGTTCTATTTCAGTATGTTTTTAAAGAATTTGAAACAACCTTACATGAAATACTTTATTTTTTCCAATGGAAATAATCTCATCAATCTGTTCCAGTAGCAGAAAGAAGATACTTCAAACAAATCTGATTTGGAAGAGGTAGTGCTGTAACATGTTCACTGATAAATTATCTGCATACACCGTGCATATTGTCTGGCTACATTGAACAAATACAGAATATGTCACTGCGCTCATATAGTGCACTGATAGTGTTTTCTGATGCTCAGTATACAGAGTGAGTAAAAACTGGCCATCTCTCTCACAACAGCCCTCCCAGCTTTGAATCCTAGAACACCAGCTTGATTGTATGCATTTGTCTGTAAGGTATACTAAGCCTTACTCGTTAGATCTCTGCTCTGGACCTTGTGGCCTCTCATGGACTGTAGTTGTGCTAAGTTTGCTTCAAGTGGTGTGACTTCATGTAGTAAAATAAATCGGTGATTGATCAGTGAGATTAATAAACTGGACTGAACTGTAGTGGTTCAAAATTGGTTTTAAACAGCTAAGTTGCTCCTGCTGTTGTGGTGATAAACTCCAGGAAGGAATTGTGGGGGAGTCTTTGGGAAGTTATTCTGAAGAATTGCTCTATGTTCATAGGTCAATAAGCTACTTGGAATTCACTCAGTCTAGTACAGTCAGTACTCTGGATTATTAGCCCCTAAAAATGTGGGGAGATTTTTGTGTACAAGTGTGTATTTTCTCCTTGGTGGTGTGTTTTCTGGTTTGTTTTTTTCCCCCTCTATTTTATGTGCTGGCAACTATAGGACTTGTTACCCTTCTCCAGTATGTGGAGAATAGAGGCCTGGCTTAGCACTGTGAATTGCACTGACTGAGCCAGAACCAGCTCTGTAAAGTCATTGCTGCGAAGCAGAAAGGCTGCTGTAATTAGGGACTTGATCCAGGGCTTGGCAAGGTCAGTTATTTTAGGAATAAAACATTCAGAAATATTTTTAGGGAATATAACCAAAATCAAACTCAGAGTCTTTGGAGCTGACTTTAAAGTTATGTTTGGTATGGATTGTGTTATTTTATTTTTCTTAGAAAAAGTTTGTAAAGGCTCAAATGGAACCTATTTTTAGTAGCTCACATTTACTATGTTTGCTTAAATAACTTTGAAAACTGGTGTAACTTACTGGCTGATTATCCAATATCAGATGATTCCAGTAGTGATTCATTTATTAATCTGTAGTGAACTGATAAGATGAATCTTTTTCTATAAGTTACAATTTCCATTACCTTAAAAATAAGATAAAAGTTGTGATTGCAGTTGATATTGCTGCTTAGGTAGTTAATTTAAGAAAGTTCAAGTTCTTCCTCTTCTGGGATTATATATCTGTCACATCAGTATTTAAATATTTCAAATGTTAGTGGCCTTTTGTTCTTCATTTCAATGTGGTTTGTCACTGTTTAGTTACTTGCTGGAATTCATTATATATAAAATTCCTGTTCCATGCATGTTTTACTTTTTCTTTTAACTGTCACATAATTGTGAAAGACTGAAGGACTGAATTGTTTTTGAAACTTACTAAGGACCTCATCTAAATTGGAACACTTACAAGTTAATCAAGAAACTATCACTTACATAATGTGATATTTAAAACTCAATTAAATCTGTTCTTAAATGAAAGAAACAGGACAAACCTATATACTAACCTGTGATCTTTGAAACTGTGACTTACTAATATTGGGACCCCTCTGATTTAGGGGTTTTAAGTTTAGGTTTTAAGTTGGATGTCTTAGTAAATCTACTATGTATTCATCATTTTTCTTGTTCAACATGAACAGAGTCTTAAACTGTTTCCTTAACACACGCTTTCTCTTGTTGCATGTGTACTACTCAAAGTGGAGATCTTGTATTCCAAAATGATCTGTTCTTAAATTTAAACTCATTTTCAGGCGGCTTTGAGTTGCCATTTTTTGTTTTCTTGCTGCTGGTTTTGTTTTTGGCAGAAACTTTTTGAGAGAGCTCCAAAATGACTGAAGTTGCACAATTAAATAGTCTTTAAGCAGTTCATTCAGTGCCAGACTTGGAAACCTCAATGTGTAAAGTTATGAGCATCTATAAAAATGATACTAAGCACAGTGAATTTTCTTGTGGCATGTTTCAGGATGGATGTGCAATGAAATCATTGCCTATAGAACACAAATTTGCAAACTTCAGCAAAGCAAACAGC